GGGGTCATCTGACTCCATTTTTCATTCCTAACACTGTGTGCTCCAGACTGGGTAACTCACAAAGAATCGAAGTTTCTGTAGCTCAGGTTCTAGAGGCTGGGAAGTCCTGCTTGGCTTCTAGTGAGGGCCTTCTTGCTGCATCACGGCATGGTGGAGGAAAACGCAGACTGAAATAGCAAGCATATCTCTCAGAGAGATCTCGATTTCTCAACAAAGCGACTCCAGCGATAATCCATTAATCCATGAATGAATTACTCCATTAATCTGTGAATGGATCCATCCATTAATTCATGAATGAATTAATCCATTAATCCCTCAGTCTCCTTATCTATGAATAAGCTAATCCATTAATCCGTGAATGAACTAATCCGTCCATGAAGACCGAACCTTCAGGACCCAACCACCACCCAAAGATCTCACCTTCTGACACTGCTGGGCTGGGAGCCAAGATTCCAACACATCAGCTCTTCAGAGACACCTTCAGAACAGAGCAGTGACCTCAGGCCAGTTCCTGAGCCACTTGAGGCCTGCGGCCTTCTTCCCAGGAGAAGGCTCTCCCCACCTCCTCTTCCAGACACAGACGGAGTCAGACTGCCGGAGTCAGGATGCCCACCTGGCCTCAGTCCACCCAGGTAAAAACGGGAGTGGTGTCAATACCTACCACCCAGGGTTGTCAGAGAGTCGAGAGAGTCCATAAATGGTTCTCAGCACTGACTACACCTCGAAGTCTCCCTAGGAGCTTCGATATTATTCCAATATCCAGGCCCCAGCCCCAGAGACTCTGATCTCAATGAACCTGGACGCTCATATTTTTTACCTGCGTGGTTTAAATATGCCACCAAGCCTGAGAACCACTGGACATACTGTGAAGCACATGGCATGTCATTGTCACACAGTAAGCATGCAATAAGGGTCAGCCATCACGTGGCCATCATGCTAGATCTATAGGTGCAGGATCCGAGGATTTGACCCAAGGTGGCTCAAAACTATTCAGGGGGAAAAAAACAAAAGTTGTGCAGACTTTTTCATGTCATTATCCCCTAAACAATATAATATAGCAACTATTTGCATAAGTTCCATTGTACTAGGTATTATAAGGGATCTAGAGATGACTTAAAGCATAGAGCAGGAGGTGCGTAGGTTTTGTGCAGGTACTGTGCCATTTTATATACGAGACATGAGCATCCATATCCACAGGGTCCTGGAGCCAGTGCCCCACATGACTGTATATGGCAAAAAAAGAGGACTAGACTCCCCAAGCTGCCGATGAGAAATGTGGGGCTCAGAGAGGCTGTGTGAGCTGCCCAAGGTCACACAGTGTGTGAGGGTCCAACTCTGGTTCCGTGTTTCTTTCACCTGCAGAACAAGTGGCAGGCTCTCTGCAGCCACCTGAGCTTTACAGTTGTGACGTGGCCAGGCAGCATTCTTCAGAGAGTCTCAACCCTTTAGGAAATAGTGAGACCACCATAGTGACTTATGGCCAGTCAATACGTATAAAAAATAGAAAAGCACGGAAAACGTCAGTCCACGTCACAGGATCCCAGCCGTTCCTTTGGCCAAAGGAGAAAATCAAGGCCAAGAGAACCAAAAGGTCACACAGCACATTAGAATCTGAGTCACAATTCACAAATGTTATCTAAAAAGATATGGATTGCATACCCACTCCTGTGCCAGGCTTCGTAACGGACATCAGGGAGTCTTTGATTCAGTCTTCATCAGGAGATTTTTTAACAATAAATAACTAAATTGATCCTAAAAATGTATAAGTTGTAAAACTCTAAGTATTCATAAGACACACTTTGACCCTCTCCACAGCTCAGTCTGCTGACCCTTCAGGCAGGACTGTGGAATGATCCGATTTCTACCTTTAACTTTGGAGCCTGGATGTGGTGGCCTACACTTGTCATCCCAGCTACTTGGGAGGTTGAGGCGGGAGGATGGCAAGCTCAAGGCCAGCCTCTGGAACTAAGTGAGACCCTGTCTCAAAATAAAATTAAACAGACTAGCGTGTAACTCCACAGGAGAACATCCCTGGGTTTAGCCCTCAGTGCCGCCACACCAACAAACACACAAAAAAGCAGAATCTTTGGGTTTCTGTGTGGTTTCTGGGAGGTGAGAGTGGAAGTCGAGCCCCGGTGAGGAGATACCGCCGTGATCCAGGTGGGAGGTGAGCGGTTAGAGGTGGAGGTCTATTGTTTGGAGGTGAAATTGATGAGGCTTACTGGTGGGACCAAGGTAGGGTGTGACTGAGAAAAGCCCCGGATGGTTCTTGGGTCTGGGGCTTTGAGCAACTTGGTCCCACGAACTGGGATGGAGAACCCTGCAGAAGGGGCAGGCAGATGGGAAATCCAAAGTTTGCTTTGGAATATGTTCTGCTCGCTGTGTCTCAAAGGTGTCCAAGGGCAGCTGTCACACAGGGGTCACTGTAGCCCCAAACACGGAGCCTTGCAGGGAACAGGTAGATCTGTAAAGGCAAGGGGCTGGATCAGAGGGCCGAGGCCAGAATGAATCACAGGAGAAAAGGGCTTCCTATGGGGGCACCTCAACACGGAGGCAGAAAGGAGAGGAGGCCCAGCAAAGGACACAGAAGACACAGGACAGGGCAGGAAGGAAAAAGAGAYGCGTCCTGGACACAGGGTGATAGACACACCAAAGAGGCTGATGGGCTCCACCCAGCTCCCACTGAGCCTCTTCCTCTGAACCAGGTGGCTTCTGAATCACTCAAAGGAGCCACGGAATCCCCTTGAGTCCAAGATGTGATTTTCTTTTTTATTTTAAAGAGAGAGAGAAAAAACTTTTATTTTTTTTTTTTTTAGTTTTCGGCAGACACAACATCTTTTGTTTTTTTGGTTTTTTTTTTTTTTTTTTTTTTTGTGCTGAGAATCGAACCCCAGGCCGCACGCTACCGCTTGAGCCGCATCCCCAGCCCAAAAAAAAAAGAAAAAAGAAAAGAATCCTAACATTGCTGAAATCAGAGCACCACATTGTCCTCCCCCCCCACCTATGAACCTTACCACAAAATGAATGAGTGAGTGAGTGAGTGAGTGAGTGAGTGAAGGCTCTTACTCAATCAACACAGCATCTTACAATTGACCCGTGTGGAAGGACGTCTTATTGACAATGAGAATACAACAGGCATCAGAGAGGGACAGGAGAGGTGGATGRTATGCCTAAAGCTTCTCACTCTATCTGCTCCCCACAGGAGGGAAAGAAATCCACAAGGGAAGGAGAAATATTTTCCAGTTGCATGTGATRAAGGAGCAGTACTTTGTCTCCCCAACGCAGCAGGCTGTCCATCTTGGAAGAGCCAAGTTCACTGTGGCCTGCACACACCCCTCTGCTTCGTTGCAAACCCCGCCCCCCACCAGAACACCACCAAGCAAAGGAGAGTTTGATMCCGTGCTGCATTTTCTCGAAACTTATAAAAACCTTCTAACACGTACAAAAAGAACATGCCTCCAGAAGTTATAGATGGTAGAAGACCCAGGAGACGGATACAGAAGTAGGAAAGAGACACACACCTTGGCTTTCTTAGGGACAGGCTTGGAGAGCCGCTCTCTTAGCTCACTTCTGCTTGACTACTAACCCACGAYGACTCTTCGGTTTTGAGAATGGTTTGCTCAAATCCCAACTCTGCTGTCTTTGAATGGAAAAGTCTCTGAGCTTTGAGAACCTGTGATAAGGGCAACCATACAAGGAAAGGAGCCAGCTTTGTTCTCCTAATTCACAGTCACCACTGTAAAGTGTCATCAGCAGCTTTGTGAATGACACTCATCTGTGGGTTTGTTTTCTTTTTTTAAAGGCTCCAACATAAGAGAGTATGTTTATAGAAGGTAGGTAGGTAGGTAGGTAGGTAGGGAAATAGAATTCAGGAATCCTGATAGGATTTTCTGGGTGTGGCCAATTTCAGTCCTGGGGAACAAGACCTGGAGCCTAGATCCCCTTCCCCTACAGAGCCAGAAACAAGGTCAGGCCTCCGTAGATGGTGGAGCCAGCCCGCCCTCTCTGCAATCCAATGCCTGGCAAGGACGCGGCCTCGGCAGCTTTCTTTTCTCCATTTCCAGGGGTGGCGCATCCTCTGGGCCTGGAACAGCACCTCGTGATCCTTATCAAGCCATCTGTCAGCACCAGTCGACCTGACGGTGGCTTTCTCCTCCCTGGGGGCCCTTCCCTCCCTCCACAGCCACACCAAGATCATCCTGGAGATGCAGGCGGTCCGTGGAGTCACCAGGAAGGGCTAGCCACATCTGGAATTGGCCAGGGCACCTGGGCTTCCCCAGACGGTACAGCAARGACACACGGGCTGGTCCCACGGCGCCTCCCCGCCAGGACTCCAGGGGCCCGATGGTATCTCCCCTCTGCCTGTGAAGCAACCCACATAATTGGCTGCATTAATATCCAGGCCACCTGAGGCCGCCTGTCACAACGAGCACCTAAGTGATTCTTCAGCTCACTGCCTGCAGCTGAGTGGAGAAAACCGGGGTCTCCTCTGGGACGGCTCCCCTGGGGCTGCACTCTGTTTCCAGGACAGGTTTTTCCACCCCCCGGGGAACCACAGGGCAGCTCCAGGGATGGAGACCCTGCTTGGGGCTTCGAACAGTTTTTTTGAAGGAGATTGTGTCAACCCACATCTTTGGAACCTTTTTTAAGGGTGAGTCCCCATAGGGATTACTGAACGACTCTGATTTCCTGGCATCCAAGTCCCTCCCATTTTATCCCGGATAAAAAAATAAATAAATAAACGCCATGTTTGAAAAAACAAAACAGGCGGGTGGGGATTTGGGCTGCTGTCTACACGGGTTGAATCCCTCAATTCACACCCTTCATCTCTTCTAGTCTACACAGCAATCCCACTCTGRAGGCTCCAAGGGGTGAAGCAGAAACAGGACAAGATTGCTTTGGTTGTAACACTCCGTGTATTTTCTTTACCTCACTCAACCTTTGGATCCCAGGATGATGCAGGACGAGCTTTGTCACTTTCTCAATTCTTCTCCCTGCTTCTACCCAGATGGGTCTGCCCCAGGATCCAGCCATCGTCCAGGCCCTGCTGGCCCCTCAAGAATGATGCTGGTGATGGTGCACACGGCCAGCTCCCTGCCCGGGAGTGGGACCAGACAGCCAGGCTGAGGGGGAGAGGCCAGGTTTTTCGGTTGAGGCCACAGGCGAGGCTCGGAGCGGAGAAGCAGGAAGGGTAGACGGGAGACAGGGCTCCAGCCTGGGACTCTGCCTCTCGGAACTCCTGCAAACTTCCTTCTCAGAATTTTCCATTTCCCCAGAGACGAGGCTGTGTTGCTTAATCATACCCTGATTCTCACGGGTGTCAGCCATTCCCAGAGACAATATCAGACACGGGTCAAGGAGAGAGATAGCCCCACTGCGGGGCCTCCTCCCCCAGGTCCTGGTCCTGCTGCAGCCACCTCCCCGGGCCTTCTGTCTTCCAAAGCCATCCCAGATGGTACCTCTGGCCCCACTCTGTCCCACAGAGCAGCACGGCTGGATGGCTATGTTCAATTCCAGGCTCTACTGCTTAGGAGGTGTGCATCAACTTTTATAATCTGTAAAATAGAGGGAACCCCAGTACCTACTGCGAGGCTTGTCATAGAATTAAATAAATGCAATACATGAATCATCTCTAGGACGGTCTCTAGCTCAGCCAATACTCCGTGAATGTCAGCAACGACTGATCATCACGTAGAGGCTTCTTGTTCCCTCTCCAGGGAATCACTGCATCTCTGGATTCACATAACGCCTTTTCCAGGAGGTGATCAGAAAAAAAGTGTGCCAAGTGATTGACGTGGATTGAGGTGGCGAGATGGGGACAGCATTGTCTGGGTGTTAATGCACAGGCTTCGGAGTCCCGTGGCCCGAGCTCAAATTTCAGGCCTTCTGCACACTCAGCTTGGCCTTCGCAAGTCACCTGCCCTCGGCGTCCACATCTGTAAGCGGAGATTAAAACAGCTCCCACCTCAGAGATCTCTGTGCAGATCACCCCAGATAGAAGCCTCGGGGGGGGGGGGCCAGSAGAGCACCCTGGTGGAGCGTGGCAAGGCCTGTGTTGCTCTCGTGATGACAGGGAGCTGGCCTCCAAGGGGACGCTGTGCCTTTGGAGAGCCAAGTGTCTGATAGGAGCTACAGAGAACAGAGTGAAGGGACTCCCTCCTGGGGGCTTCTCCTCCCTCCCCCGTCCTCCCAAGAGCTCTTCCCTCACTCAGGGAGGCTGCTGGGGGGAGGCAGCCCTGGAACAAAGAGGATCCAGTCCTGCTAAATACCACCCGCGTGGCCCTGGGCCCRTCGCTGCACACCTTCCAACCCCAAGGGCTGGAACCCTCTGCATCCCTGGGGTTATTCACAGGGCTCTCCTCCCGGGCCTCCCTCCCCTCGGCTGAAGGGACAGGAAGGAAAACCTGCAGAGCCGCACAGTGATGGATCATGAGCACGCCCCACCGCGAGGCCAGGGCTGGAGCCGCAGGGCTGAGGGGGCTTCTGGTGGCTCCTGGTCTCCAGCAGGGGGCAAAGGCTACGCAGAGCCTTCAGGGGAGGGTGCAGAGGGCTGCCGAGTCTGAACCAAGCCACGAGCTCTGCAGATGGTCCCCTTCCACCTCGCCACACGTTCACACCGTCCGTGTGTCCATCACCGTGGCCTTTGCACAAACACGGGACAGGCTCCCAGGCGGTACGTGACATGTGGGGTCACACAGCCGGCCAACTGCTCTGAGAAGGAGACTCAGGGGCTGTGGAGCCCAAAGCCACCCGGGTCCATCAGGAGGGAAGGCTTCCTGGAGGAGGCACACCTGCGTGCTGAGCCATGAGAAGGACCGGCATTGGCTCAGGGTCACAGAAACACCACCACGGACCGGGGGCCTTAGAGACTATGAACTTTTCTCTCTCACAATTCTAGTCCCCTACACCTTTGCCCAGGAAACCCACAATCGAGGCACCGGCAGATGCAGTGTCTGGTGAGAGCCACTCCTTGGCGTTAGATGGCACCTGCCTGCCGCGTGTCCTTTCCTGGTGGAAAGATGAGGAACGCTCTGGAGCCATCCCAAATGCTACCATCCACTCTATCCCACAGACAGGTAAGGGCCTAATCCTGTCCACAGGGACCCATCCCAGGACCTCATCAGCTCCAAAGGCCTCACCTCCCAGTGCGGTCACCTGAGGAGTTAGGCTTCAACATACAGATTCGGGGAGGGGGGAGGGGGAGGGGGACAGAAACATTCAGAACACAGTGACACTGGAAGCCAGAAGGGAGCCTGGTCTCTTCCAACACCAGACAGAGTTGGAAGCAAGGGCTTTGGAGACCAGGAAGACAGTGCTGATCCCAACCAACAACGGAAGTGGAGAGACACGGGTCACCCAGAGACCCCGCAGCTCCAAAGGTGGCTCCCAGGAACCCGGGAAGAGCGTCTCCAGGAGGAACATGCTTAGCCATCATGCCATCATCGTCCTCCCCGACCGTGAAGCTGATCCTGGGGCCAGGACACTGGTGTTCACGGTGAACATCAAGGTCGACACGCACCGGTCACAGATGCCGTGGATGAGTCTCTACAGCCTCTCCTCGCCCAAGCCGCCACTCTGATTGGGCCTTGGAGAAAGCACTCGTTTGACCCCCAGCTATGATGCTTGGAGTCCCATAAAAAAGGGGGGGGATATCTAAACTGAGTCCAGCTGGCTAATTCTAAATATAATAAATTTTACATTTTCTTAAGGAAAAAGTCGCTGTCCCGCTGTGGATCCCCGCCGGCGGTGTGTGTGAGTTCCAGTGGCTCCACGTCCTCAGCAACAGCGGCCCTTATCAGTCTTTCCCATCTCCGTGGTTTCCAGTGGGAATGTGGGTGTTTCGTTGCTGTTTGGATTTCTGTTTTCCTGATGACTTTACTAATGCTGAGCACCTTTTCACATAACTATTGGCCATTCGTATGTCTTCTTTGGAACGTATCTTTTGACCATTTTTAAATTAGGTTATTTCTCAAATTTTCCTCCAGTTTTTTGTTTGTTGTTGTTGTTTTGGGGGGGTTGTTTGTTTGTTTGCTGTGTGTGTGTGTGTGTGTGTGTGTGTGTGTGTTTGAGGTGGGGTCTTGCTAAGATGGCCATCCTTGAAATCAGGACCCTCCTGCCAGTAGCTTCCCCAGTAACCGCAATCACAGACATGCGCCACCACGTCCAGCTTCTTAACAGTGCTTTTCAAAAACGTAAGTTTTCAATGAAGCGGAATTTGTCATTTTTCCTTTTGTGATTTGTGAGTTGTGTGCCAGTAACTGTTTTCTATTTGTTTGTTTGCTTGCTTGCTTTTTTACTGGGGATTGAGCTCAGGGACACTCGACCGCTGAGCCACATCCCCAGCCCTATTTTGTATTTTATTAAGAGACAGGATCTCACGGAGTTGTTTAGCGCCTTGCTTTTCTTGAAGCTACCTTTGAACTTATGATCCTCCAGCCTCAGCCTCCTGAGCCCCTGGGATCACAGGCGTGTGTCACTGACTAGTTGTGGGGTGTTGTTGTTGTTGTTGCTGTTGTTGTTTGGTGGGTTGGTTGGTTTGGTTTTGTGATGCTGGGGATGGAACCCAGGGCCTTGCACATGTGAGGCAAGCACTCTACCAACTGAGCTATATCCCCAGGTCCTAGTCGTTTTTCATGCTTAAAATTGTGTTTATGCCCCATCCAGAAAACTTTCTTCGCAAGATGAAACTGTGTAATTTTAGAAGGTTAAATTTTTTGCAACAAGATTGCTTTGGTGGGAGGAAGCTGGGCTTTCATTTGGTGTGTTGTGATGTTCTTTACAACATGGTCTGTGACAGTGACCATCAAATGAGAAAGAACAAGTAAGGGCGATGTGATTAGGCAACTCAGAAGTTTCATGAGGACAAGACTGAGCAGAAGAGCTCTTCAGGATAAGGCCAGAGGAAGCAGCCAAGTTTACAAATGAAGGAAGCCTAGAAGCCTTGGAGACAGATTCCCTTTGAACTTGCGGCCTTCAGTACAGGTTCTTTCTTAAACAAAGATAAGGTGCTAACGGAGCAGGGAATCCCACCCAATGGGCAGGAGAAGGCGGCAGGCAGGACCCACGGGCCTGGCGCCTGCCACATCTCCCTCTGTGGCCAGTCCTCAGCCCCCACCTGCGCTTGGTCAAGAGGAAACTATTTCTACTGCTCACTGGACTCCTGGAAGGGCCCATTTATTTCCTCCCACACTGGACAGGCTTTAATAACCAAAGCACATGCCTTCTTGCAAAGCAGCCCCACCAGAAATTAACCCCTTCCTCCCTTCCCCTGCAGCTGTTACCAAGCGGGCAACTCCAGAACCACGCACATCCCAGCTTACCAGGGGGGACAACGGTAGATGGCCGATTTTTTTCCAGGGCTTTCTCGGTGTCCTGCTAGCCCTGGATCCCCCTGGAGCCAGCCCAAGGTATTTCAGGGTTGACACTGCATGACATTATAGGGCTGCTAACACCCAAGCCTGCAACTGCTGAGCCAGGCTAATTCGAGACAGCGTCCGTGCCTGCTGCCATATCCCGGGCCCAGGCTGCAGCTCTTCCCACCAGGCCTTATCCAAAACAGGGCACGAACCGTAACAGGGTCTGGACTGACTGCATTTAAAGGCCAACTGTTTGAGAGTGGATTTTTAAAGAGAGGAAAATAACACAATGAAGAAGAGAGTGTCCCAACTTTGTTATCAGAAAGCCTGGACTTAAAGACCAGCTGCAGTACTGACCGGCTGTGTAACCAAGGGCAATTTATGTCACCTCTCTGGGCCTCCATCTCCTGACCCATATCATGGAGATTAATGAGATAACAAAGGATTAAATGAGATGACACTGAGGCCCAGGACAATGACCTCTGGGCACAGAGTGAGCTCTCGATTCATGTCAGCCCTTGGTGCACCTTCCCCCCTGCAGGGAACGAACAGCTGTCAATCACATTCATCCCCTTAATGGGTACAGCAACAACGTGGGCACATTGCTTGACCTCCCCGTGGTTCAACTTCCACGTTGGGAGGAAAGAGATCCGAGCTGGAAATATGGATCTGGCAATCATCAACAAGCAGAAGCAGAATGAACTGGTCAGTGGAGTGGACATCAAGGAGAGAAGCAGG